CGCTGGGAGGTGTGGTCCCGCCGCCCGCCCCAGCGGGGGCGCCTCGCCTCTCAGGAGCCTCCCCCATACCCGGGAGCGGCAGCAGAGGGGCCGGCCGGGGGGCTTCCCGGCCGGGGCCACGGCCTGTAGCGCCCCTGTGAGGCAGTCGCGAGGTCTGTGGGACAGATCGCTGCCCGTGCAGTGATTTACATTTCGTAAGGATGGGGCAACCTCATCTCCGGTTCCTCTTTCTTCTCCCCCGTCACCACTGCCCGCGCTTCCCCCGTTCGGTCGGCGCGGGGACGGCGGGGCGACCTGGCCTCAGCCAGGGCAGTGGTTTTACATCCATGACACCCCAGTGTGGTTCAGATTCCCCATGGCCTGGGCTCTTGCCCTCTGTTGACATTGTAGCGATACATCAAAGCTGGTCTTTCCCACTTAAGAGAAATCTGAGGAAATAATACCTCCTAGGAATCATGAGATAAGTGTGAGATAATCTTGCCTCCGGTGCGGACTTTGCCTTTAGCGCCGGAATAAGGTTGTAACTTTCCTTTGTATAGTGTAAGAGACATGGTTAATGTTTCTAAAACTGCTGAAAATGGCTGTTCAAATCCACTGCTACAGAAACCCAATTTCCAGTGGAGATGTCACCACTGCAGTGAGACTTCACAGAAGGCTAATCCAGCTCTCACTGTGTTTCTTTTATGGATTATATAAAAGTCTCCTGGTTTAAGTGAAGATATGCTTGGTTTTCCTGCTCACTGAGCATGCCTCCTCCTTCCAAGATACCTGTAAACCAAAATTACCTGCACATGCAGTCCCCCATTCACATCCTTAAACTTGTTGTTACTTCACCAAATCGAACCAGAGTTCTCTCTTTCCATTCCCAGCCTTCTCTCCCAACATTTCTGGCCCTGTTTAATACTCTGCCTAACTCACTTGGCATGTCTTTTACAAGTATCCTTCAATCTGAAACGTGTTTTCTGTTATTTCTCAATAACTTTGTACTTTGATAGGCCTTTTTATCTTTAAATGTCACTCATTCTAACCTAAGCAGTTGTTACACCTACTTAAGCAAGATTTCTTCTGTATTGCAAACAGCAAATCAGTAACACTCACTCCCACATTAACTTTTGAAAAATATTTAAGCTCCCTCCTAGCTAAACTGTTTTGTTTCTCTTATTTTTTTACTTATCTACAGTTACAATAAGTTCTCCAGGTATGGGACCGCCACTTTCTCTTTCCTGTAAAATAGCTGTCACATTTTAGGGCTATTGAAATATTTCCTATTTAGAACCATCTTATGGTTCTAAACTGTTTTACTAATAGTAATTGATTAATTCACATCACATCCCCAAGCATCACAGAACAACCCAGTATCTGTAACTGAAAAAAACCCCTATCTTGGAATGAAGTAGTTTTGGAGTGATAAATATATATGATCCATGTATATAGATCATGGATATACATAGATATATATACACATATACACACACATATATACATATATACACATACACACACATATACATATTATCTCTATATATACACAGATAGATACATATATGCAGATACATATATATATATATATACACACACACATATACATGGATCATATATATGTGATCAAATATACTTGATACCATCCAAGGCAATATACCAGGAAATATAAATGAAAACAGGTAGCAGTTAGATTTCTCATATTGCACTGCCCAGATAGAGGGCCTTTTTCATCTATGTATGTAGAGTTTGGAAAAGCTTCATTTTATTTATTTAAGTGCCCCTTGCTCTCGTTCATTCACCAAGATAGTCACCTTGTTATAGAAGAGCAATAAGTCAGTTAGGCATGATTTCTCAGTTATAAATCTATGTTGACTACTCACAATCACCTTCTTGACCTTCATGCGTTTGGAGACTATTTCCAGGAGTATTTTCTCCATGACGTTTCCAGAGACTGAGGTGAGGTTCACTGGCCTGTAGTTCTCCAGATCTTCCTTCTTGCCCTTCTTGAAGATAGGAGAGTTGCCCCTCAGTCTCATCCAGTCTTCGGGAACCTCTCCCACTGTGAGAGGTTCCTCTGTGTTTCAAAGGTAATTGAGAACTGCCTCACAGTGGCGTCAGCCAGCTCCTTCAGCATCCATGGACACAGCCTCTCAGGCCCTGTGGAATTACATATTTCCAGTTTGTTTAAGTGCTCTCTAACCTGGTCCTCCACCACTGAGGGTAAGTTTTCCTTCCTCCAGACTCCCTCTGGTCCTGATGGCCCGAGGCTGCTGAAGGCCAGTGTGGATGAAGTACTGAAATTGTCCTCAGGACAGACAACAAGCAAGTTAAAAAGACTTTCTAGAATAATGGCTGGAGAACTTATGTAGGAGGAAGAAGTTCAAACCTCACAAGCATAGGCAAGGGGTAGCTGTGGGTGTTACACTCTAACCAAGGCATGAGATGAAAGAAGAAACACTTCCTCTTCCAACCATTTGGTGAATACAATGTTTGCTATCCTATTTTTCCTATTACATGAAATAAAGCCTTTTATTTGGGCCACTTGGAACACATTGTGTCAATTTGCACATATATACAGATTTCCATCTGTGCGAGCTGACGCAGGCAGGATGCAGGAACAATCACAAAGCCACAGATGAAATGCAAAGGGTAAATTTATTCTTGTTACCTCACGACCCAGGAGATCTATGCAGCAGCACCCAGGTAGAGGCATGCAAGTGGGGGTGCAGGCACCGCAGAGCTTGGGCCTTGCTAGCCAGAAAAAGGAGAAGAAAGAAAAAAATGTGAACCTGCTGCTTTCACTTGTATGTATCAGGGATTTTCACGGGCATAATTTTCCACTGTGCTTTGTTTTTTCCCACAGCAGGGCAGGAATCTCAAGGATGTTTGATAAGGTGCCTCTGGGTCTGTCACAGGCCTATGTTATCTAAACGCAGTGAAGCACACAAAGCTAAACAACAATTAGGATGATATACGTGTTTTTCAACACCCCAGCTGCAAGTCACTTGAGCGTGTTTACAATCCTTCTTGCCAATCTTCCGTTGTATTCCCACACCATCTGAATGAAAAAACCCGAACATAATATGTGTTTTATCTAAGACTTTTCTTCAGACCAAAGTTCAATTACATGAATATATACACATCTGTCCCCCTAGATACCATTTCATGTGTTAATGTGCCAGAAATCTGTACCAATACCGATGATGATGCATTTGGGATAAATGAGCTACAACAGAGGTATTGTTATTTTTCAAAAGCCCATGAAAGCACACAAAAGAAAAAAGATTAGTGTTGGACAGATGAGGTTTTCTAATCACTGAAGTTCAGAAATAAGGTTGTTTATACAAATCTAAGCTTGTTCTATCCAGTTCCTTATGTGTATATGTACAATATAGAGTTACAGAATTCAATATAGCTTATCCATTCCCTGAAGAGGATGGAAAAACTCACTGACGGTGTCATCATGGTCTTTTATCCATTATCTTGCAACATCTGCTCACTGCATACTATCAATATTCTACATTTAATATTTTTTCCTATGATGCTTAACACTGAACTAACTTTTCACATCTTCTCTCCCATTGCATATGACCATGTACACATTGAGTTATGTTTTGGAGGTAGAGGAAAGAAGATCGTCAGGCTTCATCAAGCATCAGAGGGACTGCAGCATCAGAGCAGTGAGCAGGTGTGTAGAGGGCCCCTGCCAAGCAGTGCACAAGGCCACGGGTCAGCTCAGAGTAGTAGCACTTGACATGCTCCCACAGAATAGCAAAGCTACACACCGCTGTAAATAAGGAGCCAAAGACTAGTGACGAGGAAGAGGGATTCAGATTCTGAGGGCACAAGCTTGATTTTCACAGCGTGAGGGCTGATGTGTCTAGACTAACCGGTTGTTGCACAGCAGTCAGTTAACTAGTGTTTGTGTTTGCATAGCAAGACAAGGTGAGGGATGTTCTTATCTGTTGTTCACTAAGGAGAGGACTGAAGCTGAAATATACATTTTAAGTATCAGCTGATTTTGGATGTGCCCCTTTTGGCTTCTTTAGCTGGTATATGGGGAAATGTCACATTTCCCTTGCATTTCATTTATTTGTAGCACAGCTTTCGCTGATGTCAGGTGCAGCTGTAAGTGCTCGGCACTGTGACAAATCTAGGCTCAGTTACCTTGAGACAAACAGCAGAAGGAAGAATAAAATCATTGACTAGCTGTAGGAAAAAGATATTTAAATGATCTCCTGAAACCACATAGACATTTTCTTATATAAGGAGTGTATTCTAGTGCTGAAAAGGAATTTCAGCCACTTTAACAAGATTATCTTTTCTCCTCTTCCAGACATGGCCTCCTGTTTGTTAATTATCATCTGCACCATGCATTGATGAAGCAGGAGTCATGCCAAAGGCTGTTATTGTAAATAAGGCTTATTAAAATTAATATGCACAAGAAGAGTGAGTTAAAGTAATCCAGGCAGGTTTTGTTCTCCACTGTCCCAATTTTTTAATCCTTCTCTTGGCACATACAGTATCTTTGAAGGTAACTGGCAACCATACGAACTACTGGAGCCAAAACAGCATATAGGAGCTTGGCTTCCTATCACTTGTACCTCAGAAACTAGCCAGGTAGTGACAGTTCATGCGGAAGGTCCAAAGTCTAGAACTTTCTTCTATTCAGAATATACTCACTGACCTCCCCACCCCCGCTACCTTTCTTTTGGCATTAATACGTTTCTATTTCCCAGTGCAGGAGTACAGGGAACAGCTTCCTCCCACACCTTTCCCTCTGTGTTACACCATTATGCATCACACCATGAGCTCTTTGGTGTAGGGCTCAACACAGTAAGATCGTGATTCCAAACTGGGACCTCCACATACTACCCTAACACTACACACTAGCGAGTATGAGAGTGATCATATAGGTACATCCACAACTCACAACAAGTTAACACCACCCCCAGGCTCCTC